AATTAATGTAAATTATGCAAATGAGGACTTTATTTGCATAATTAATGAGGAAATTCTATAATTACAGTGTTTTACATTATACTATGTAGCCTATGGCAGGCGGAACTTCAACAGATACTAATTATGCAAATGATGACCTAAATTGCATAATTAATGTGAAAATTCTATGATTTCGTAATGGTGAATGATGAGAATGCCATACTTGGGACATCTGTAAGTTAATCAAAAGTTAACATACATCACGATGCATATATCATGTTAATGCAGAGGTCATTTGAACAATTAAAGAAGAAATTTACATATCAAGATCATATTTCATGGAGGTATGAGATCTCGGAATTCTAGTTATACTATGAAATTACGTTTTTCGGTTTCTTATTGCTTTTTATTCATCAAGAAACATGGCATATTTAGAGTTCAGTGTTGGTAGTAATTCAAAGAAGCTGCTGTCTGGATGCCGAGAACTTTTTTATTCGTTATTACATATTGGAAAAAATTTGCCAACATTCAAGGGGTGCCATATCTTCACATCTTCAATTTGCATACACTTCGGTTACAGAACAAAAATGCAACACAGACAACTTTTGTTGCAATCGGGAAGCTGAACGCTGCTGTACTAGACCAGAAAGTCCCGGGGGAGAGCCCGACGACGTTCTCTGTAGGTGAATTTAACTTGGCCGTTGAAAAACAGCGGTGTGATTCTACAAACGGGCAACCGCACGTTTTCCGGGCAAATAACCAACTGGGAAGCTCTACGTTTTTCGTGGTATCCAGCTTGTCAGGGTTGCTTGGGGATAGCTGTGAAACAGAGGAAGACGTCGGAATAGAGGTAGGTAATAAATTCTTATCAAGATGATAAGAACTCGCTTGAGAATTTTCTCTTTGCTCGTGCTAGATTTTCAATCCCCCGCTCCTTTACTCCAGCAAGTGAGAGACTGTGTAAACACAGGCTAGATATCGGTGTAGTTAGCTCATGCAAAGATCCTCCGAGTTTCCATCTCAACCAATCCTTTTTTGTTTGTTTTGAAGAATTTCAAGACACCGCGGAACCCTTACGCCTTTGTCAAAACGTCTGACGATGTCAAGTCGGAAGTAGGAGGGCTACAGTTCTTGCGGAACGGCAGGCCTTTGGAGATCCGCGACTTAACAGATCCTGTGGAGGTTTTCACACGACGCTTGTCGGAGTCATCCCAGAATGGACGAACAATGACCGAGCTTGGGACGACAGCACCATCTGGGAGCAAAAACATAAGTGTAACTATGCGATCTTTTACTCCTAGAATTGTTACCCCGAGAAGATTTCTGGTCAGCACTGTTTAACCGTACCGTATGTGTTCCATCTTGACTAAAAAGCCATGTTTGACGTACAAGCAATTAGACCGTCCTTGCTAGACTCATCTAACGTATAATTCTGATTGTCCGTTTTGTCTCTGACGAAAAGGGCTATTATTACTAGTACATAGCCCTAAATTTCGCAGTTCTCTTTTTTCAGTGACCCGTCCAGTAGACCCATATATACATCCTGACGGTTGCATTGTCGGTCGGTAAATGATGCTTGTAATTTTGCAGACTCACCAGTTCAACATGACTGAGGGGAGGTCCCTGCACCTCACCGTGACGCCCCATTTGGCGAATGTGTCTGTCCGACTGTACCTGAAGCGAGGGGACAAACCTCGCCGGATTGACGAATTCGACAGGAACACAACATTACCACTGCCAGGTTTGTTTACGTTATAAATTGTGTTTTTTTAACAGAAAAGGTTCATATCCTCTGTCCATTTGGCTGATTTCTTTCCAGCCACTACCTTTTAGCCCCTTTCTCCAAAATATTTCCAGGGCCAACATAAGCCATCTCCCTGCCTCTAGCTAGGCCAACATGCCCACTGTTCCCGTGGTTTATAAACTGTATAGCCGGTGTAACACACCAGCTTCGTAGGCACGCGGCGCGGCGGCAGCTAGCTGTATTACACTGAACGACTTTTTACACCTAACCTAAATCTAACTCTAAACAATGTTTAAAGCTATCAAATTGTACTACCTTCATTGCATGTGCTGTATTTGGTTACTTCTAAGAATAAAAATCGCTGTTGTGAGCGAAATAAAACACGCCAGGACCGCACATGGACGACTTTGACAGACTTCATATTTGCATACAAATACTTAAAGGAATGTGATGTTTGTGTACTAACATTCAGATGATGCCGACCTGTTCACCCTGTCATTGGGCCCAACTGAAACCATGGCAGCAGACCGGTGGACGTGGTTCATACCCGGAAGTGACGTAGACCCTAAGGATCCAGTGGAGCACATGCACTACCTAGGTATTAACGCACGCACCATTCAAAATTATACATAGCTATAAAATGGATTTTGTGTAAAATTGTATGGATAAGATTCTAGTTCTTGTTCACATGCATACCATATATGTATCAAAGCCTCGTTACAAAGTTCAAATATTTCACAACAAAAGTGGAGTCGTAAGCGCCAGAGTATTGGGCTCAGAAACGAGCCTTGAGGTCCCAGGTTCGAATCCTGCCATCGATCTTGTGCCCATGAGAAAGACACTTAAAGGATTTCTCGAGCTGCCTTTGTAACCCGTTCTTGCCCTATTGAGTCAGTAAGTCAAGCTTTTCTATGGAGGAGAAATACTGCAGTGAGCGCTAGTTCAGTGCCTGGCACTGGCATGTGTGGCTTTGCACTGAGCAAACTCTTTAAGACATGCTTTTCAACACAATTCAGGGGTGGAGCACGTACCGCAAACTGAACAAGGCGATGTAAGCCCCTCGGTTTCTCGGAGTATCGGGGAAAGAACTTCACACTGAACTACACACTTCAGATCTTCTCCACACAATGTCTCTACTTCAACGAGGAAAGCGAAGATTTCGAGTCAGACGGTTGCCAGGTTTGTGTTCTCCTGAAAACCCTAATCAAAACCATCATATTGCGATGTTGAAATAAGCAATTAGGTAGACCGTTGTCAAGTCTGTATCATGTCAACAGAATATAAAAACAACATTTGGTGATGAAACGTAACATAGAGGCTGTGTTTGCTTTCATTCTGCTTCCTTGCCCATGTACAGCCCGGTCCTCTCAGCAGCGCCGCTTTGTCTCACTGCCGGTGCGACCATCTGACAGCGTTTGGGTCCGGCTTTACATTCTTCATTGCACCGAACAAACTCAACATCCTCGAGACGCTTCGAAATCGTAAGATCAAACAACACACATCTAATGCAATCCTCCAAACACTCAATGATCGCCATAAAAGGTATAACAAATATGTAGTTAAAGGCAAACACCTCATTCAAGCTCATTCATTCATATTACACGTACGGACATCAGATAGCTCAGGATTGAGGAACTGAAAGAAGTGCCGCCAAGGCCTTTTGTAATATCTGTATTCATGTCATTTTTTCCTGACTGCAATATAACATCCCTTCATTAGTGAACCCAGCGGAGAACCCAGTTGTCATCATCGCGGTCAGCGTTCTGTTCGGGATCTACATCCTCGTGGTGATCTGGGCCCGGCGCAAAGACAGACAAGATTCAAAAAAGGTATGTAAGTCTTCTGTTATGTCATCTTAAGTCAACTCTCAAATACTCGTTATTACACAGCTATATCTTTCTGAATCTAAGCGATTTAACAACTGATTTATACTTTTGTATACATTTATAATATCTTAATAGCTAAACTCTGTTCTTTTGTTACCTGGACGATACCCATGTTTTGTGATGTAATTTTTATCTTATGTCCAGTGGTGACGTGAATATAAGCATTTTGCTTGCGTGCGTCACTACTATGTATTGTATTTTTGCATGTTGGAAATTAAAAAAAGAAGGTATGTGATCCGTGTTTGCGCTGCGTTCAAGTTTTTCTTACAGATCGTTGCTTCATCATCATCATCAGTGCTTAGTTAAATCATTTAAATCATATCATAAAGCTTGATTCTTTACAGACAGTATAGCACTGCATACTTTTTAAAAATTGATGTGGGGACCCGACAGCGATTTTCATTATTAAATACAGGAAGGAATTTGCCCACCTGGCTATGAATTATGGAATTGTATGAATTGTATACAGTTCCTTACGAATTACGAAGAATAAAATTTTCTTTCATGCATGTTCCATGCCTGATGCATGTAACACCACGGCATGTAACCATAGTTATGTCTCTCTGCTATGGTTTCCCAGATCGGGGCAACGATCCTTCGCGGAGATCAGGGACGTTTTCACGATCACTTTTACCAGATCACAGTTCTGACGGGATCGAGATCCGAGTCATCCACATCTGCCAGGGTAAGTTTCATTCGCCTTTTTTCACTAGAACATTTTTACATTATATAGCTATTTGTGATTTCATATTGTTATCGAAGTGTTATCTTTTGAAATGATATAACTTACACCACATTATGCGCCCCGTACACTTAAGCTTGGCATCCACCACTGCCAAAATATTCCATATACGGTCCGTACATTTGGTATTAACCCTATCTAGACCGGGGGGGGGGGCTAAAAGTGCCCGCGGCAACTTTGATGTCACCTAGCGTCTGAACGGCTAGAGCTAAAACCGCCAAACTTGGTGACTTTACCTAAAATATTGTTGGCAACAAATCTGTATCAGTGGAATAAGATTATGATTTTTCTTGTTGCCATGGCAACGGGTTTCTGACAGGCATTTTTTGCAAAATTTAATAATTTCCATTTAAACAACAGAATTTTATGGGTTTAATGTCAAGTTACACATTGTTTCTAATATAAATAACATCACACATAATTATATGTAAATTTTATCATCAAAAATGCATAATTTATGCTAATTTGATGACGTCATTGGCCCAAATCCAAGATGGCGGACCATATCATTAGATCAGGTAAATACAGCTTATTTTCCTTAAAATTTCATCAATACTCCCATTTCTTTTTTACAAAAAGGTTCATATGAACGTCTTTAGTCTGTTTACAATGTATTTTAGGCTTTATCCTGAAAAAAAATATATTTTTCAAAATTCAAGATTGATGATCCAAGATGGCGGATAGGTAATATATGCATGACGTCATTTTATGACGTCACCGGTGTTGCTATGGGCAACATAAGACTTAGTACATCCTAATATTCTGTCATAAACACTTTTGGTAAAGTTATGTCGTAAACTGTTTAGTTTTCAGGTAATAACCTATCTAGACGGTTTTGGCCAGTAAAATCACATTAATGACGTCATAATGACGTCATATTACGTCACAACGACAGATAAATTTTTACTAGTACACCATCCTCTGAAAATTTGGTGGTCCTACGATATACCGTTCGCGAGTTCTGAGGGGGGGGCCGAAAGAGCCCCCCCCCCCCGTCCCACCAAGCCCAAAAAGCCCGGTCTAGATAGGGTTAAACGACTAGTACTACCAAAATATCTCATATATGCCCCGTACATATGGCATTCAAACACTACCAAAATATCTCCCAATAGGTCTTTTTGACGCTGATGGGAGAGGGGGGCACGTCTGGCCCACATGAACTGGAGGACCGTGACCGCACGATTCTCAAGGAGGGAGGAGTAGACACTTTCATCTTGCCAACAAGTCGCCACCTGGGATCCTTGTACGCCGTGCACATCTGGCATGACAACACAGGACCTTGTCCGTCATGGTGAGTACTTTGGACTGGGTGACATCTGACTACCCGCAATTATCAAACTATCAAACTGCAGACTATCAAACCCGCATTGATTGATTTACCTACACTAAACCGCAACCTGTCACGCCAAGTCTCTCTCAAGTGTTTTGCTGCCCATTGTATGTTATGCGCAGTATCTTATAACGTTGTCGTTGTTGTTGTTGTTTGTCCAATCCACAGGTTCCTGGACAAAATCATCCTGCAAGACCTTAGCGATGGCAAGAAGTACTCTTTCCTGTGTCAGAGGTAATGTTCAAAGATCCATGGTCTAGAACTTAAAAACAGCATAATGTGAATACATGATATGAAGGCAAAAGGTGGACTAAGGTTATTAGATACGCCAGGTGTTTCTAGTTTTCTGTACTCTATCCCGTTGCTAAAAGCTGTATTTAAAAGACAGTTTTTGTTGCGTATCACAGATGGTTAGCTGTGGAGGAAGGCGACGGAAGGGTGGATTGTTTGCTCTCGTCAGCTACCGACGAACAACTGTCGACCCTTAGGCACGTCTTTGGGTCCCAAACATCCAAGGTACATTCATGGGATCATATTTTTACCATCCATCAAAAATATATGTGCCTTCATTAAATTCTTTTGGTAAAAATTCTGGATAAGTTGGGGACCCATATCATTAATGTACATGATATTATGACAGATGTATTGTCTACAGTAGAACCCTCCGTGCCATTCCTGTTGTTTATTTAGTACAATGATTTATTCCGTGTTCAAAAGGCCTTCAAGGATGGTCACCTGTGGGCCTCGGTGCTGGGACGACCTGCCTACAGTCCCTTCACTCGTGTCCAGCGGGTGTCCTGTTGCCTGTCCCTCTTACTCTGCACCATGGTCACCAACATCGCGTTCTTCCGACGGGAAAATGACTTCGGCCCGCCTCCTACAATCGACATCCTTGGTTTCAAAGTGCAGATCCCGATATCGTGGGCCCAGGTACCAATTTCTCCAGGTTAAAAAAGAAAATGACAAACTGGCTGTGTTTGGGAGGCGGCTGCCTCAACGTTAAGTGGATGCATAGAATATGTCAATAAATCCTGCTAGCTATAAATATATATGCAATTAAAAATACAGATGACAGATATGATTCATGACTTATTGATTTCACACTACTTGCAGTTCATGATCGCTGTGCAAAGTTGCCTCATCATTTTCCCCATCAACCTGGCCATAGTGGAGATTTTCCGCCATGTTGCATCTCCACCAGAGAAGAAGGCCAAAGATCAATGTGGTTCAAGCGGTGGGTAGGAAAATATGCTACTAGTAAAACTCGGGAACATGTTAATTGTTGTAACGTCAAGTATGGAATGGTTGTTTGTGACGATTTTAAATCAAAACTTAAAGTAATCAGATATCAAACTACAGCCATGTACATTGTAGATACGATCAGATATCATAACTGTACTATGTATGGCACGACTGATTAATTTTGATATGGAAAGTGGAATAAAGTGGAACTACATGAAAATATTCTTAAGTAGATAACCGTGTTAGGAATTAGTAAGGTGTATTCAAATGTCACAATAAGTGATGCATTGTGTAGTTTCTGTACTTTTTCAAGCTTCTCATCGTCTTCATAGCGTACCAAAAATCATAACATCTTTCTCCGATCTGCAGCTTCCTCGATAACTTCAGATTCAGACGTCGTAAGTCTTGAAGAAATCGAGCTCCAAAAACTTGACAAGGCCTGGGACTTCTACAGACAACCATACAGTGGTGGGTGGTATTCTTCATGTTTTATAATAGAAGCTGCCTTCTAAATTTCATATCGGATCCTAGGTCATCGTTATAATGATAAATATACGTTTGCTAATCATAAAAGGATGCACTCCTGACGTCATCACGTTTCCGACTTCCGGAAAGTCAGCGATTGCATCACAAATCTGACGAAGGTTGACGGGATCAGCCGAAAATTTATGGTGAGTTCTCCTTATTGTGTTGGAACAAGTCAAACTCTTTAACTATGTATTCTACCAACACAGATGAGCTTTCATTCGAATAATAAAAGGAGTTGTTGTTTTTTTCTTCCAGATAGCAAGATGACTGAGGAAAAGAAAAAAGGATGTATTCTTCCGTGGTGGTGCGTTTTCATAGGTAAGAAATGCTGATCAAAAGAAAATACTTTATAAGGTTAGGTACTTTTACTGTAACAGATAGACTGTACATTATATGTTGTATAGCTCACTCAGAACTGAGAGGTCTCACAGACGTAACATACAAGTATGTTGCAGATACTGCCATTGTCACAAGGACTATTTAGCCACAGACGTATACATGTAGGTTAGATGTATTTTTTGCTTTAACCATGGTAAGAACTGCCCAATGCAGGCCATCCAGAGGGTCAGTGTTATGCTTCCTCTTTTTGAAAGTATGTTTCTATGTAATAACACATTGTTCTAATTCCTACTGTTTCCCCAAGCCTGGTTCCTGGTTTTTGCTAGCTGCGTCGTGTCTGCATTCTTCACCATCCTGTACGGCCAGGCATACGGCCGGAAGAAAGCTGAGGAGTGGCTCTTCGTCTTCTTCACTTCCTTCTTCGCAGATCTCTTCGTCCTTCAGCCCGTCAAGGTGGTTCTGTTGGCCGTCGGACTCACGCTGGTTCTGAGGGTAAGGATCCCACAGATTACAACGTACTTACGTACGTACGTACGTACACAACAACATTTGAGGTGATGTACAGAACTATACAGTGTTAATAAAGTTGCCTTGGTATCTCGGAATGGTAAAATTAAGTATCTCAGCCAACATTATTTTAAGTAGTTTATCAGTAGTGAACTAATTCATTGCATATCTCGAATGATGAAAGAAAAAATATATGGTCGGTGATATCATATATAGGGAGAGTCACTACCCAAGCAAGTGGATTTCAAACATTATGGATTTCGAGCAAAAATAGTGTAATGTAGTGCTTCAAGCAAAAATAGTGTAATGACTACAGTAATATAAAGAATTAGTTGATAAAGGTGGATACCATTCTATTACTCTAGTAAAAGTTTTATATCTACATAGGCACCACAAATACGATGTGGTATCGTCATATTACGCCATGTCAATTTTGTACTCTGTAAGTTTATGACATTAATGCTCATCTGTCGACTTTTAGAAACCTCATGACGACGCAGAAAATCAGACACCAACGCTGGACTACGAGGAAGTGTGCGCCTACCTGTCATCCATCAAGGTGGAGTAACTCGAATTTGAGTCAGTAACTCATGAGTTTAAAATTACAATGGGATGCTCATTCTAAACACCACATGGCACATAAGTCCAAAGTCATTTGGTGCATCATGGTGCAAAACAAATTTGTAAGTTTCAAATAATATCAACCGTCGTCAGTAGACAACCATGAGAAATGTCCTCCCATCCTACAGGCGACACCTGCAAGGGAATGCCGTGAAGAACCACCGGACTCAACAAAGCTGGCAGAAATGCGAGTCCGCCGTTTCGTCGAGATCAGCATGAGAAAGGCCTTGTACGAGTTCGCGTTTTACTTCCTCTTCGTCCTGGTGCTAGTGGTCATTGCCAACGGGCCACGTGACACAGGCATGTTCCACATGACTCAACATCTTCGGAGAACTGTGGACGATGGAGGGGATCATTCCTTTACAAATGCGAGTACAGACCAATCAGGTGGCATTGGTCGTTTTTAGTTTGTTTCAAATTCAAGGTATACTCGGTTGGGTTAAGGCAGCCTATGGCCAACTATGATTAGTATTTCATACATATGGCTGTAACTTTTGATAGCTTGGTCTCACCACAACTTAACTTCACACAGTTCTAGTAGTACTTGAAACACATTGAATAAAGGTTATTTTGTTTTTACTACTTCTGAATTTTTGGGTTAAAAATCAACATTTTGGTTAAAAAAAGCTGTTTACTTCATGGCTTTACGCGCAAGCGGTAACAACACTTTTCATCGTGATATTGTACAAGTAGAAAGCCAACCCCCTATTTATTATTTTTGTCCGAGGCTATTTTGTTTTAAATGACAGTTACATTGTTTTTTGGGCCAAAAACGACAGAAACAGCTATTTTTCTGTCATTTTTGGTCAAAAAATCGCCACAGTTAAAAAATTTCGACTTATATGCAAAATAGCCTCGGACAATTTTGATAAAAAAGTGATAATACGTAAACATGGATTACTCTAAAGATGAATTATGTTGTTTTCAGCTGCGTGTAAAGCCGTTTAGGTCATACTCCGTGAATAAAATGCGTAA